CTCATGTTGAGTTCTTTCTGGTTGAGGATATGTTGAAGGCTTTTATGGTCAGTGAAGATCGTGCATTTTGTGCCGTAGAGGTAGTGTCTCCATATCTTTAGAGCGAAGACGACTGCTCCTAGCTCAAGATCGTGCGTTGTGTAGTTCACTTCATGCGTCTTTAGTTGTCTTGAGGCATAGGCGATGACCTTCCCTCGTTGCATCAGGACACACCCGAGTCCTTGGTTTGATGCATCACAATAGACCACGAAGTCCTCCGTCCCTTCTGGCAGGGTTAGGATGGGCGCACTACATAATGCTCGTTTTAGCGTTTGAAATGCGGCATCTTGTTTTTCTCCCCAGTCGAAGGTCACATTTTTCTGAGTTAGTGTGGTGAGTGGCTTGGCAATCTTGGAAAAATTCTGTATGAACCTTCGGTAATACCCGGCGAGTCCTAAAAATTGTCGGATCTCTGTAGGGGTTCTTGGAATCGTCCAATTCTCTATTGCCTTGATCTTCGAGGGATCCACGTGTATTCCTTCCTTGCTTACTACGTGTCCTAGAAAATCCACCTCTCGAATCCAAAATTCGCACTTGGAAAATTTTGCGTAAAGTTTCTCTGCCCTTAATGTTTCCAGAACCTGGCGGAGATGTTGGCTGTGTTCTTCCTGGTTTCTAGAATAGATGAGTATATCATCTATGAACACGATCACGAATTTGTCCAGGAAGGGGCGACATACTCGGTTCATCAAATCCATGAACACTGCTGGAGCGTTTGTCAATCCGAAGGGCATTACTACAAACTCGTAGTGACCATATCGTGTTCGGAAAGCCGTTTTGGGGATGTCTCCTTCCAGTACTCGTAGCTGGTGATAACCGGATCTTAGGTCGATTTTTGAGAAGTAGCTCGCTCCTTGTAGTTGGTCAAAAAGATCGTCTATACGTGGAAGGGGATATCGGTTCTTGATTGTCAGTTTGTTCAGTTCTCGATAATCGATGCACATGCGAAAAGATCCGTCCTTCTTTTTCACGAATAGGACTGGTGCACCCCATGGTGAGAAGCTTGGCCTGATGAATCCCTTGCTCAACAGCTCGTTCAATTGACTGGACAGTTCCTGCATCTCGGCTGGAGCTAAACGGTAAGGTGACTTTGCTACTGGGGTGGCTCCGGGAATCAAGTCGATTCTGAATTCGACTTGACGTTCTGGTGGGATTCCTGGGAGATCTTCTGGGAAAATGTCTGGGAAGTTGCAGACTTCTGGAATATCTTTAATGTTCTTTGGTTCTTTCTTCTGGTCTACTACGTGGGCTAGAAAGGCATGGTATTCCTTGCGAAGATATTTTCGTGCTTTAACACAGGAGATGATTTGTAATTTTGCACTAGGTTTGTCTCCATATATGATGAGATTTTCACCGTTGGGAAGATTGAGACGAACGGCCTTTTCATGGCAAAGAATGTCGGCATGGTGAAGACTCAGCCAGTCCATACCGATGATTATATCAAAACTTCTTATCGAAATGGGCATAAGGTCGATTTGAAATAAGTGTTCGTTTAAATTTAATGTGCACCCGACGTACATATCACTTGTGCTTTCTGTTTTTCCATTAGCCATTTCTACAGTGAATATTTTATTAAGTGGTTGGGGTCTCTGGTTAAGTAGATGTTTGAATTTATGGCTCACAAAACTTCTCTCCGCACCGCAATCAAAGAGTATGCATGCATAAATGTTGTCGAGGAGAAACGTACCCGTAACTACTGTTGGATCAGTTATTGCTTCATTTTGACCTATCGCCAGCACTCTCCCAATACCACCAACATTCCTTGTCTTGGGGCAGTCCCTCTTGAAATGCCCGGTTTCTCCACATCCATAACATGCTTGGCTTACTCCAGTACCAGGAACTTGAGTGAATGGCCGCGCTGGTGCCTTACAGAAACGGGCTGTGTGCCCTTTCCTGTCGCAGTTCTTACAGTACATCTCGCGGCAATTACCGTGGTGATGGTAGTTGCATTTGCTGCACTTTGGCAAGTTCCCTGCATATTGTTTTGTTGGCGTCGAAGTTGTAGGAGTTGTGCCGGGAGTAGTAGCAGCATGAACCGCCACCATTTGTCTCTTTGAAGGTTCTTGCGAGGTTAGTCCCTTCCTCTTGTTCCAAATTTCTTCTTGCTGTTGTTATTGTTGTCGTTGTTCCCTTTGGTTGGTTCAGTTACGATAGTCGTGACTCCTTGGCAGACGCCATGATCCACAAGAGATTGCGCCAGTTCTTTGGCACTGTCGAAGGTCATGGGCTTGGAAGCTAGCACACTTCCTCGCAGTTGGGGTGATAATCCCCAGATGTACCTCTCCACTTTTTGGCTTTCTAGAATCAACATCCCAGGACAAAGTGTTATCAAATCGCTGAACCTATTGGTGTAGCCTGCGATGTCCGATCCTTTCATCGAAAGGTTCCACAATTCTTGTTCCAGCTTCTGAATCTCGCCCCTTGGGCAGTATTCTCGTAGGAGCATTCGCTTCAAATTTTCCCAACCCATGGAGTTCGCCACCACCAGGGTTAGTGTTTTGACGTGGCCGTTCCACCATGTCAACGCGCGTTCATAGAATGTACAGGCAGCAAATTTTACTTTGCTTTCTTCCGGGCATGCGCAAATTTCAAATACGGCTTCCGTTTTCTCTATCCATTGGGACAGAGCCAATCTTTCGTCGCGGTTACAGCGGTCGTTACAGCAGTTTGGAACATAGTTGCATCCATAGTTGGAGGAGGTGGTGGAGGTGGTGCTGGAGTTGAGTTTCTGCGTGTTGTTCTACAAGGAGGCATGTTCTGGTAGAGAAAATAAGAATGAATACTATAAGTTCTACAAGGAGGCAACGTAAATCTTTCGTCGGGGCACGAGTGCGGAAACCAAGGAAATAAAATGGTCTCTGGAACAGGGAGAAATGCTGAGAAATTGTGAAGGTGTGCCAAAACTCGAGTTTTATGCCCTCTATTTATAGGGCTGAAGATTCTAGTACGCGGCGCGTACTTCCGGAGTACGCGGGGCGTACTTCGGTTACGCGGGGCGTAATAATGCGTCATGGATTACGACTCCTGGCTAGCTGGGCATAGCTTGGGCGGGCCGATGGGACTCGACTCTGGGTCTAGTACGCGGGGCGTACTCCCAGAGTACGCGGGGTGTAATCCCTGCTTCCAACTTCTAAATTCCGTAACTTTCGCGTACGAGCTCCGTTTTTCGCGTTCTTTATATCCACGCATAGGTGAGATTATGCTGTACAACTTTCATTTAGACTCCGTCGGCTAGTTTTGACTTTATTTTTAATGATATAATTTTAATAGGCCGGGCCTCCTAAAGTTCGTTAAAATTTCATAGGTTCTTTATTCGACGTCGGTTTTCGTTTGTCTTTTGATTGTTTTATTACCACCGAGGAGATCTTCAACTTCCGTTTAGGTGGCGATAGCTAAATAACACTCGATCTTTAATCCGAGTTTTTAGCCCTCTACTACTGTTACGAAACTTTGAAAATTCGTAACTTCTTCATACGAGGTCCAATTTGGGCGATCTTTTTATGCACGCTCATCTTTCAACGAGATCTACGACTTTTGTTTAGATACTTTAAGGCTAAAATGTATTTTATTGAGATTCCACTTTTTACGTCAAATTATGTTTTAACGTCGTGTCGTAATTATACGAGTGGTTATAATTTCTTCAATATAACTCGGTTTTGAGTGTTCTTTATGTTTTTGGAAACCTGGGCATGATATCTAATATTCGATGCATCCCAACTTAGATACCTGAACACTTTATTTTCGAGGTTAATTTCGTTGTTTTTAGCTTTCGAGTGTTTACAATGCTTTTGGGAAAAATAGGGTTGTCACACAAACCATGTGTAACACGGTCATCTAGAAAGACCATAAACTAAAAACCTCTATGGCTATAGCTCTTCCTATAAGTGCTCTTTCAACCTGGTAGGCATCCTCAATGATCTAGATAAGGTTTTAGGCAAAGATAATGAACTACCAAAACCCCCTACACATAATCCCACACTGTGAATTATACATTAAATAAAGCTAATTCATACCATCTAAATGTGTATTAAAACATGCATTATATTCGCAACCAACACATCAAGCACAATCATATATCATTCTTTCAAGCAACTTAATATAACATGCCATGTACAACAAGTCATCAAAATGTATACAACATACCAATTACGTAATAACATGGCAATAACACAAAGCATAGAGTAGCATCACTGGAACGTACCAAAAAATATGAGGAACAAATTTCATTTTTAATTCAAACAAAATACTAATTAACTTTAAGTCAAACATTCATTATCCTTTATCTAATTGTTCAAAGGTTCTTTATAAGAAAACAGTTATCAGAGTACAATCTAAAAATCATCATAATGCAAAAACATGGGTGGATGCGCTGCGATCATGTTGTGCCCTTCCCTTTTGAACCGTAAGTACTTGAAACCATAACCATAAAAACCGTATGGACAAAGCTTAGTGAGTTCCCCAAGATACCATACATACAATTAAGGATGTTACTCGGGTCGGAATCGAACTGAACCAACTCGAACCCGAATAAACCAAAAACCGAATAAAGGTACTTGTATGAACCGAAAACCGAGCCAAATAAGCAATACAAGTTCGGTTGTAAAGCCCCGTTTATTTATTAACTCAATAAATAAAATAATGAGCGAATAGTAGCACTAAAATAAATAATTATATATCAATGGATGGTCTCGAGGGGCTAATTGTCATAAATTTAGAAGTGGAGGGCTGAAGGGAAAATATGGGATTTAATTTAAAGAGGACTTATGGGGAGGGACCAATTTTTCCATTATGGCAATATGTTATGGTGTCGGGTATATAACACATAAGAGAACCCTAAACCTTGAATCAAATGCGGCCGCCACCATCCCTTTTCACTTCTCATTTTTCCGATCAGCAAGGCCGCTACCCTCCTCCTTCATTTTCGATCGTCGCCATCACCATAGAAGCTCCTTCAACCACCGATGGCATCACCAAGTTCGATAGCTCTCATCTCTGCCTATTGCTTCGTCGACGAAGGCTTCCATTCCACCACCTGTTGCCGTCGGTTAGGTCGTGTATGGCCGGAGATGGCCTGTGACCGCTGCCCATTTCGAACTAGTCACGTTGCTACCGTTTTCTTCTTTTTCTTTTGCTCCATCCATTGCCAAGGGCTCACTTCTGTTGCTCCGGTCATGGTCACAACCCCAAAGGGCTGTCGAGTTCGTGTGGTTTATCACCTGTCGAGTTGGGGTGCGCTTCCTTGCTCAGCTCATCTCCGTACGTGTATGCCTGCTTGCAGTTGGCCAGAAAAGCGTGGAAACCACCATAGCAACCGCTATGGTGGCCATTACCTTGTTGCCGCCGGCTTATGCCACAAAGTGAGTGGTTGGCTTCCCTATCCGAGTAAAGGAATGAAGAGGTGCATGATTCAGTCGATGTGTGCGTGGGTCTTTGGCCGGAGTCCTCGGAAAAGGCATCACCACCACCATAGGGTGGTGGCTGCCACTATCTGCCGCCGTCGGCCACCACAAGGTGGCTGTGTGTGTGTGTTTAATTGTTTAGTGTGTGTTTATTTTGATATTTAGCATTGTAAAATGTAAATCACAGCTTGGAATAATAAAAGAACTTGAAAACCACCACCTTAGGGTGGTGGCTGCCGCCTCCTGCTGCCACCGGCCGCCGTGTCGGGTGGCGGTGTGCTTTGATGGTGTTTGGACTCGTTTGGATGATTGAACAAGGGACTAAAACCCTAATGGGCCTTGAAACCCTATTGGGCCTAACGAAGCTTAAGGGACTCTAATGGACCCAATAAAACCCTAATGGGCTTAATAATATTTTAGTGGGCTTGATAGGCCCGATAAAGCCCTAATTGACATAAAAGGCCAACAAATTGACAAATGGGCTAATATTTGGATTGGAAAACCCTAATGCCATTAAAACCCTAACTTTAAGAATTATTCGGGTCACACAAGAATTATTTAATAACTTGAGATATTAAATAATAAGCATTGGCAAAGATTAATCTAAGCGATAATGGACTTAATGGATTAAGTCCTTAATGGGTTAAGTAGGAAACTTAACCCTAATCATCATTTTATGTGAAACCCTAATTTTACTTGGGTTTATTGTTGGACCTTTCTATTGGGCCTTGATGATTGGATTAATAATGGGCCATCCAAGAATAATTATATGGACTAAAATGATTTAATGGGCCTAGGGTAAGTCCCATGTAAGGGGTTGGGCCCAATTTGTAAAATTGGGCCATAGATGGACCATAGTTGGAAATTAATGATTGTATGATGTTGGGCCTTAGAATAAGACCATGTATAGGCCTGGGCCCAATTTGGAAAATTGGGCCATATGTTGGGCTTTGATTTCCTAGTGGACTTTGGGCCTAAGGATTGGGCCTTGGGCTTGCATAAAGTCAACCTTGGGGTAATGTAGTAATTATCCAAGTGAGTATCTATGATTATATGTTGGAATCCAATTATTAATTGGGTGTTATTTTTGTGTTGACAGTTTGGGAATCTATCATCTAGCAAGTGGGGTGAAGTCTGCGGGACTTCAGCAATGTGAGGTTATGTCTACGGGACTTCAGCAGTATGAGGTGAGTTACCTTCCAGTAACGGTGGGTCTAAGGCCACAATGCCGGCCCACCAGTAGGAGATGTATGATAGATGATTGTCTTTGTGATATCATCTAGGTTTGCTACTACCTGATATGTTATATGCTAGCATATATGTTGTATGTGATAGTAGTAGAGTTCGGTTGTTAGGAATGAAGGGTAGTCAGACACTCCAGATACGTCTGACAGTATGTGATGATATGTTTGCATGCTGGTTTGTTATGTTATATGCGATAGAGGTAGTAGGAGGGGACCAGTCCCCGAGTTCGGTTGTTAGGACCGAAGGGTAGTAAGCACCCCAGAATTGCTCGATATGGGTAGGTCAGCGCCCCAGAATGGCTTAACACGGGAAGGACGGCACCCCAGAATGGCCGCATGGGTAGGTCGGCACCCTAGAATGGTCGTACCGGGTAGGTCAGGCACCCCAGAAATGCCTGGCAGTATGTATGTGATATGATTGTATGGTATGTCGTATGATGGGGGAACTCACTAAGCTTTGTGCTTACGGTTTTCAGTTTTGGTTTCAGGTACTTCGTGTCTAAAGGAAAGGAGCCGGCTTAATCGCAGCGCATCACACTATGGTTTTCCGCACATGAGATCTTTGGGATTACACTCTGATATTGTTTTATGATAACATGTTTAATTATTTCTACTTTGGTTTTGACATGACATGACATTACAAATGTTTTATTACATTGTTGGTTTTATAATGACATATTTAAAAGTGAAATTTTTGGCCTGTATTTTTGGGATGTTACATCGGTTCAGTTCGAGTATTATTCGGTTTAGTTCGGTTCCGGCCAGAATAATCCAAATAACATGTACAAGATGATTAATGAGCCGAATAACCCAAATAACATTTACTATGTGATTATAAATATTTTATTTTGTATGACTTTTATAACTTAGGATAAACACGAATAACACGAATTAAACTATTCATGATATATAAAATGTGAAAGCCAACCACCACAATCTTAAAATATAGTTATTAAGCAACATATTAAACACTAAACATTAAACATCCAACCCAAAAATCTATCTATAACTATATAAGTTAAACATTAAAAATTGCATGGGTCTTTTGGGTAACGATTGATTGAACACAAGACCGAATAAGCAATCATGCAATGGGAAAAAATATGTGACTTTTCATATTCAGTTCGGTCCATTTGGACCGAATAAGCCCTTATTCGGGTAACCCGAACCGAATAACCCGAAAACCGAATAAGCCTTATATAGATACCCGAAAACTAAATCGAATTGCTTATTCGGGTCTAATTCGGTTCGGTTCAGGTTTTCGGGCCAAATTTTCATCCCTACATACAATTGGGCCTATCCCTCACATTAGCCCCAACCCGCACATTGGGCCAAACCTACACAATGGGCCCAACCCATCATAATGGGCCTAGCCCTGCCAAACCAATGGGCCTAGACCAACATACAAATGGTCCTAACCCAACATACTAATGGGTTTTAACCCAACATGCTAATAGGCCTAGCCCTATGTACCATGAAAGTGTCACAAAGCCAACTAGATAACATATCCTAATGGGCCGACGCTGCTGCCTTCGATGTTGGTGATTTGTTATCATCAATGTTATTTAAGTGTAATGGGATTACTTTGTTGACCAAAACTAATCTTGATAAATATTAAATAATTAAGGAAGGTGTGGAGTACACACTTGTTTAAATTTGATCAAGTATCAAAGTACAATGTCATTTAGGGGCGAAGCCCCTGAACGAATGGGGGTCCGGGGGCAACTCCCCTGGGAGCGGGGTCCAAGGGGCAGAGAATTGACCTATTTTGATATTTATTCAAAATACCTGTTTTATGACTGTTTTAGTAGTTTTGTGACAGTTTTAAACTGTCATATGACAGTTTTTAGACAAGGATCTGAAAGTTAGTTTTGGTCTCTTTTTTTGGTACTTATGAAAAATACACTATCATTCTCTTTCTTTCTCTCTGAATTTTCCGAGTCATATCCAATTGGGGATTTGGGAGTACCATCCAAATACTTCGATTTGATAGTGATAATCACGATTCTCAGCTTTCCAAGTGCTATTAAATCCATATTTCTAACATTCGACCCACGAATAAAGTGAGGAGACTCATCTCTACTGATGATTACTAAAACAAAACTTGATCTACGGCGAACACTGCTGCTCACCGTAAACCAAAACCAGAAACAAACCTAATCAATAATTAGGATTTAAACCAAACACATGGTCTAGTCCATTCCATATCAAGATAAAGGAAAAGACCATTTTCCCCTTTTTATACAAGCCCAACTACAATAAGCACAAGACCCCTAATCACCCAAGGCCCAAAATCAACCTATTAGGCTTCTGCATATAACACCTGAAGTTCCTCCCTACTATGTCAGACGTCCGAATGCTGAGTGTCACACCCCAAAACTGAGAATGACGGAAACGTTCTGGGGAGGAGGACATCATGTATAGCATCACAACACAATATAATAGTAAACAAGTAAACAACATCATCCATTGCATTAAATATATAATTTTAATACAAGTGTGTTCTGTAGTATATAAGACACCAAAACATGAATCAAAATATAAGATGAGTCTTGAATGCGCTCCATCTTCTCAAAAGATGGAATCGGTACATGTCTACTGATGACCTGAGAATACAAGTTATTTTGAAAGAGTTTATCAGCATTAAAGCTGGTGAGTTCATAAGTATTTATTGTCTATGTTTGTATCCAAATGTTTGAACCGTTGTTTGAAGTACGAGTTTGTAAACGTTTGTAGTAAAAGTATGTGAATGTTTGTAAGTGTTTGTAACCCCTAGAAAATCCTATATTTTCTACTAAAAGTAGCCTTCTACCAAGGCCCAACTGTTTTGTATGTTTGTTATTGTAAAAGTGTGTAATTTTCCCAAGTGTAACTATCATTATCAAAATATAGTTTATACATTAATGTTTTGGTGAAGTAATCACCAAATAAATGTAAAGGGTAAATTAATGAAGTACTCTAGTGTTGTATTATAGGAACTACTGTTGTACTAACTACCTTAAACCATATTATTGATTGGAAAACACAACAGGGTAAAAGGTATGACATTTGGCACCCGAAGACCTGCAGGTCCCACTGTAGTGAGCAGCAAGGTGTATGATAGTCAATCCAATATAGATCTATACGCAAACTCACGCTCTCCCTCCAGGAGAGTCTGGTTACAACTAGGGCCATGACAATGAAGGCATGCTCTGATAAAGTGGATCACATTTATGTCAAAATATACTTGTATATGTTGTATTGTTTCTCATATATGTTCTCATCATAGTATAGTTGTATATGTTCTTATCATAGTATAGTTTTATATGTTCTTATTGTAGTATAGTTGTATATGTTCTCATCATAGTATAGTTGTATATGTTCTCATCATAGTAATAAGTAATGACTCATGAATGAACTGACTCTTTTATGCTTCATTGAACTAGAAGTAGTAAGTAGTATACCCCTAAACAATACCTATTATAGTTTATTAGTAGACTTGTTTGTATGACTGAATGAACTGAGATTAAAGTCTTTATATCTATACATATATACATAATATATAACTAAGTACTCAACGACACTCAGACAAACAATCGGGTACTTTAAGACCACAACCAAACAAGGACAGGAAGTAAAGTGGGTTATCTCTCCTAAGTCCTTCAAACCTTATTTATATAACTATATATGTAGTAGACATAGTTTTAACAATATATAAGTTTAAAGACTATAAAAGAAAGGTTTAGTATTCAAAAGTGAATTTGATATAGAGTTTGACATGTAAAATAGCTTGATAAACAGTTTGAAGTCATTTGTTTGGTAAAACAGTTTAAAGTATGATAAATCCATTTGTATGCTAATTATTAATCACATGTGAGTGATCTAATAACTAACATGATTCAACTTGTATCCCCCCATAAAGCATTTAAAACATTTAAAAGGTTGATTAAGTGGTATGAACTCACCTGTAGTGAGTGGTTTGGATGAACGGATGATATAGGATGCTAAGTGTCAAGTGAAGACTTGAGCACACACACGGATCCTATTTATTATATAATAACACATATATGTATACAATTAGTCATTTAAC